TCCTCCTCAGAAGTAGCTCATTAGTTCATCCGAAGAGCTGTCATGTAATTAATAAAGGCAATCTGGAAACTTTCTTCTGGCTGTGGCCAGGAGTCGATAGACACCAAGGACTTCAGGGGAGCAGTTTCCTCTCGTGACTGTCCAGGTGGAGTCTGCTGACTGACATGCACTTGTCAGGTGGTGTGTCTGAGGACAATTATAGCTACAGCATAGTGTTTTTGTGGATGAGGGCTGGAAAACATGAGCAATGCATCACTTGGACGTTGTGAAATGGATGGTAGCATGGAAGGGTGTTTCTCCATTTGATTAAAGGGAAGTCATGGGTGTTCCTAAGGTCACCGGGAGCTCTGTCTGAACAGCTGGCCCAGAGGCTTCCCTTAGTTTAGCTAACAGGTGACTGCATATTCATCATACATTCCCAGCAGTTGTCTGAGGTAGTATTTGCCTCTGTGAACAGTAACCTACTAAACAGTAAGAGAAGAACAAATGAGGATAGCTTATAAGGGAACACAAGTGTGACTTCATAACCTGTGTCGATACACATGCATTGTGTTGCCCAGTCTTTCCAAATACATCTGTGCAGCCCGTGCTATTATTTCCCAGGCCGTGTCTCATCTACAGATGTCATGCAGTTACCACACCCTGCCAGTGCTTCCACAAGAGGAACTTCCCTCCCATTAACCTTTTGCCAATGGTGGGTGGGACCAGAAGTTTTGCAAGACAAGTTATAATGAGAAACTCTCTGGTAGAAGTTGTAGCATAGGGTGTCCAAATGGCAATGATATTAGTAAAGCCCCCTTGATTCATATCTGACCAGTTCTTGTAATGTAAAAAATTTTTATTTGCTTCAAGGCTTTTTGTTTTTTTCTTTTGATTGTTTTCAAGGTAATTAGAAGACATTTGTCATGTGTCTGTTTCAGCTGTGTCTCTTGATCACTATTGTGTCTTTTAGCAAACTATGTCTAGGGGTGGCTATAAGGCAGCATAAGGCAATAGGACCGACCGTTTGGAGCGTTAGAAGAAACTATTGGGAAGAAACATGCTATGCTTTTCAGTAGAGTGACAGCTTGCTTTCCATCTTTCTGGCATCTTTAATCTAAATCAGGAGATTGCTTATATTTACTCAGAAAACACTGATTGCAGAAACGTTTATGGCAAATGTTTTATCCTTTGTCTGGTTATAAGGAATGAGAACCTCTTTAGGTGTTAAAATAGTAAAAAAAGAGCAACGTTCAGTTTAGGGAGGATTAGCAAGATTAACACTGGGGATTTGGGATAGCTGAGCTATAAAAAAATCTCATTTCCATGAAGGGAATAGCAGCCAGACTGTCCTGACCATGTGCCAGAGAGCTAAGGAAAGAGGGTTCTGTGACATTCTCAGAGCACAAGAGCCTTACAGCATACATGTGCAACAAGTTCAAATATGGTAGCATGCCCCATGTCCAGTCAGGGAAACTGAGCCTAGTCTGTGTGACCCTGTTCTTGACAGCATGCTGACTCCGACGTGATGGGTCTGGGTCTGTCTGACCCCTTCTGTATTTATTTTGCAGATATCCTTCACCCCCTGCCCCCCTTGATTTCCTCTTTAGTAGAGGATTATGGGTGTTTCCAGGATTACTGTGGGCATGAAAATATATTAGTGGAGTCCAGAGATCTCCTTTTTTGTATGGCACTTTTCTTTGCTGTTGCAACTCAGTTTCTTCTGTTGCTTATGATGAATCACTTTGGGAATCTGGCTTAGGGCGGAGGTGCTAGACGTGGTTGTAGTTGAAGTAATTTGCTATTGTAGGAGAAAGGTGATACTTCATGGTTTTCTCTTTCTTGATAAAATTCTGTGGTTTTGTGGTTTTTTTGTTCCCGCTCACCCCCCGCAAGTATTTGGTAACTTTTTAAGTTGTGGTAACTTTGACAGTCTTTGGTAAACTGTTCCTCTTTACAACAGGAAAACTTAGGACTTGTCCAAAAATATAGCAAGGGTTTCCAATACACCGCTGAGCTGGAGAAAGTAATTTCTGTTACTTCTGTTGTACTGGTTGAGGAGCAGGTACGGAAAGCTGGAGAATGCTCAGCTGTTCAGGGCTTGAATGTAGAGACCTCTTCTACTATTTATGAGATATCCCACTTTTTGGCATCAGGAAACACTAGTCTCTTTCTAACATTTTTATTTTGTGAAAGAAGCAGGCTTCTGTCCTCCTGCTGCAATAGAAGAGCCAAAGCAACAATGACTATTGAGGTGGGGATTTTTGTTTTATAGAGGGGCTGCTGGATCCTTGGACCTCACGTGAAATTAGGCTTGGTATTAGATACCTCAGTAATTGGACAAGGCACCTAATTTTAGCCACTTCTCTGGTGTGAAGGGTCAGTGTCCTGCTCCATGTAGCACTGTTCTGCTGACAAATTTTATCCTGCAGAATTGATGATTTGGGGGTACAAGCCAGTTGCTGTAATTGTTTATAAGCCAGCCCCCTTCTGCCAGGAGAGGTTATGGAAGTCTTTCACAGTGGTCCTACCTGCTGGACCTTAGAGTGTGCTATCAAAATTGCTTCACTGCCCCTTTGATTGTCTTGTCCTTCCTGTACCACACTGCAGTAAGCACTTCTCAGCCAGAGCTGAGGACTAGACCTACAGTCTAAAGTTAGGCTTTAGCCTAGAATTAGACTTTTATTGCCTCTAGTAACACTGGGTGATTGATTGCCTTTTAATATGTGTTCTGTGTCCAGAACAGGCATCGGAGCTACAGGAATAGTCCTGTGAGAGAGAAATAGTGGAGTTTCCCATGGGCCATGGGGAAGCACCTGTGAGTGAGTAAGAAATTATCTTACCACTTTAAGTGCAAACACCGTGGTTCTTGTATACAAAACTCAAAACCTAATTCTTGTTTTGTTTACACTAGTGTAAACTCTGCCATCTCATGGTGCTGGAGCATGTCACAAGCTGCCGTTTGGGCCCTGCTGTTCCTCAGGTTGATGAGAAGCTCATGTTTGGCTACTGCTTGTGTGTAGGTCAGTTTCATCATTTAAAACTCGACATGCCCACGATACATTCCAAAAATCCACCACTGCTCACTTTGCCAAGCAGTAAAATTAGGATTTATGAAGCAAACAGGCATGAGAAGTAAACAAGCTCAAGATTTTTGTAACCTATATGATTATATAGGAGAGTGATCTGAACTAATATTGTATGGGGGGGGGAGGGTTGGTAGTAACTGCAGACTGTAATGCCCATACAATGTCCCACACGCTTGATAATGTACAGAATTGATTTTAAATACAGGAAGTTCTTGATTATGTGAAATTTTATTTCAAATCAAGTGTTTAGAAAACAATTATACAGGTTATAAATAGAGCAGATTTTAAATCTACTTTCCGGTGGCCATATATACGGTGTGGTGGTTGGCGGGGTGGAGGGTGTTGGGTGGTGGTTTTGGTGGGGGAGTGGTTTGGGTTTTTTAGCATAACACAATAAAGGGAGTTTTCAGTTGAGCAGCTGTCTCCTTCTGCAGAGGAAACTTGCAGGGTGATGTTTATGCTTGTTTTAGTCCTCAGAGGTGAAGTGCACAATAATGGTAAGCCTATGTTTCTACAATTGGAGGATATTTCTCATAATGAAGGAAGTCTCCAAGGTCAACAGCTACAATACCCGGAGAAGTTACATCACAAAACCACATCTGCACAAGACTGGTCTCTTCCCCCGCCTTTCTTTTTGCCTGCTTGTGCGCGTGCTCTCTCTCTCTCAGCTTAAGTGTTGCTCACATCACTTGCAAGAATACCATGGATTTGATTTGGACTTCTGTTTACAGTGTTATTTAGCTGTTTAAAAAAAAAAAACAAACACACACACACACCCTCCAAGCCAAAAAACCTGAATAAGTATTTTTCTCCTTAAGTAATTGAAAAAGTCTCACTACAGCCTTCTAATATCCTGTACATTCCCAAACTCAGTTTGTCTAGCTACTGTTTTTGCAATGAAAATTACATTGTATAATGATGATGGCAGCAGCAGCACCTCCCAAATCTAGTCTGGGCCTGTGCGTTCCTTATTTATCTTCTATCATGTGATAGTAGTGGGCATGGCAGCTCGTGCCTCTGTGTTGAGCTGTATGTATGTGAAGAAGGAAGCTTTTGGCTATTTTAGCAAAATTTGCATGAGGGAAAAGAGAAAAGGCTAGGTTTTAATTTTTCCAGGACACTCTGTATCTCCATTTACTATGCAAATAATGTTACTGGTACATGTAACACAGTTTGGAAACCCCTGATATAACACATTTCTCTGGGGTTTTTCTTTTTTGTGTTCTATACATGAAATTTCAGTGCAAGGACTGTGTTTTATAATCCCCGTTCTGAAGCAGTATTTTTCACCAGCGTTTGCTTGGTTTAGCTTTAACAAATGGCTGTTAATATAAATTCAGCTGGTCTTATAATGACAAGAACAAGGACAGTCCTTAGAAGCCTACCTGTCCATTTTATTTGTTTTCCAGCCTCCTGATGAGGTTTGTTCTTATTCCATCAACAGGATAGCAAAGGGAGAGGCTGCTCTACATACTCCTCATTGGTGTAGACCTTATTCTATTTATACCCAAAACTCTGACTCAATACTGTTGAAGTCAGCTGAGTCTTTCTCTGGCTTCAGGTTGTTCTGAATCAGTCTATAAACCTAAAAGTCAAAGCTGCTTCTAACAAAGAAAACAAAACCTTTTTCAGTTCCTAACAGAACTTGTGTTGTGGTTTAAGCCTGTTGTTCATGTTTAATCATGTTCACCAGTGATTGTTCCAAGCATCATATATTAGAGTGAAATTACCTAGTATTCAGTATTTCCTTGACTGCATTTGGCTTGACAACAATTATTGCATTTAAAAGGGGTGGTGGCATTCTGCCATCCCTGTTCCCTCATTCTGCAATTGGGAATGGTAGTTATGAAGAGGTGTAAACGTCATCCAGGTAGCTAGGTAACCTGAGTATTTAAGGAGGTGAGAATAAAGGCTGATCTTCTTTTAGGTGTGGACAGGTATGAGAGAGGTTGTATTGGACTAGTGAAAGAAGGATCTGTAAAGCTGAGGACATGTGTTTTGGAAGGTGTGCTAGATGTGTTGGTTATAAGTTGCTCATCCTTGCCTTGCTCAGCATTGTGGCCAACATTTTACTTTATTTTCCCAATGGCGAAACAAGATTTGCTTCAGAGCATCATCTCGGCAAATACGTGGAGTGCCTTCATGGCATTCTAGGTGGAGGCTTTTTGGTAAGTAATGAGCTAGTGGTTTCTTTCAAGTTTATTTTGCAGCTACTTGGTATTACTGTTTCTTTACCAGTTACACTAATTTATTGATCAAATATCTCATCAGCAATGTATAAGAAATTAGCTATACTACCCCATAGGTATTATTATTTGCTATTGGTTATCTTATCTGCAACACTATGTCACTTCAGACCTGAGAAAATTGTAGGGTCTAGGTTGCAGAATCCAAATGCAAAACTGGAACCAAGCCTCTCAGCAGGTCACGGTTTGCATAAAGGGTTAAATATTACATTTTTGTTATATTATTGGACTATTCTCCTTTTAAATGTCCCTAGATAACTAGCATTTAGTTACAATTCCTTAATTTCTATTATCTGAGATGTTGACGGTTATTTCTCTGCCTTAGCTCTTTATTCAGAGGAATCGAGTGGCAGTTATCAAAGCTTTGCATTGGAGTAACAGCGAAGGATGAAGAATTGAATACGTTCGTTGTAGGACGTTGTTAATCTGAAGCTATTATTTTCTACCTTTTTAATTTTGTGGACCACATTGTAGCATATTTAAGTTCCCTGACTCCAGACTTCCTTTTTCATTTGCTTTTACAAGTCCTCTTAGAAATAGGCTACAGATCTGAAGATGTCTGCATATCACAGGTTGAAAACGATTGCATGCTAAGGCCCTCTGTCTTGTGAGCGGTGCTAACAGCTGTGTTACAGCCCCATTGGAACCTAGACTGGGACTTGCAAAGACTGGGCTTTACACACAGAATAATACAAGTGAAATCAATGGAACTGTTCCTGGAACACACTTGTACAACCTCTTCTGGAGCTGCAGCATTGGGGCTCAGCAATAGGTTTGATAAGGGCTGACAAGTATGTGACTGGTCAACTGGGTGATTTTTATTTTAGTGTCTTGTTAAGTAAATCTGTGCAGTTTGCAGATAACACTTTGCTTGTTCTTCATGGTTTTCCTAAGTACTCCTGGGTGTAGAGTCTTTACAAGTGCAAACTATTATTAAGTCCTGTTAGTGCTGGTGGGGAGGATACTCTGTTTAATCAACTCTGCTCCTTCTTGGTTTTATGCTAAAAGCTCTGGAGTATGGATGATTTATGTTTCTTACAGATACATATGTTTCTTCTTCTGCTTTGTTACTTTGCATTTCTGTCACTGGAAACTGGTTGTGAAAACCTAGAAAAGGCTAGATGTCTGTAATGAGATGTTTGCCTGAATTGGGCAAAATATTCCTAGGCTTTCTACTCTAGTCAGACTGGTTTGTCACACAGGCAGTGATGACTACTCTTCAGTAACTAATATGTTGGTAGTAGTTATTTTTTTTAACAAAATAATTGAGAGACTTATCTTGTAGTCCTTATTTGGCAGAAAATGAATGCATTTTTTTGCAAAGCATTTTATTTGCAGGGTACAGCCTTTAATGTGAACAAAAACTTTTTAAAGTTGAAGTACTTTAAATTGCAGCAATACCACAGCAGGCTCTTTATTGACAGGCTCTCTATGCACTTAAGTGCTGTATATACACAAAGCAGAAATAAAAATATACCTATTCTGGTGTGGTGCTGCTGATATCAGTAGCAAGATGCCTGCTGTGTTAAATAGGAGTAAAACTGAATAATCTATACAGGCTGTCCCCCACTCCCCTGCCAAGAAACAATATAAATGAATGCAGTGTGAGGACTGTGTTTTATCTGCTCTGTCTGTGCAACAAAATAAAACAGTGTCGTATGTTTGCTCCGTACCTAGGTGCTCATTCCAGCTGCAGTATTCATTGGGCTTCACGATGATGACTGCTGTGGGTGCTTTGGCCATAAGGACTGTGGGAAAAGCTGTGCGGTAAGTGAGCCTTTACGCTCCAGTCCCAGATAATCCCAAAGACAAGGTGATGGCTGTGTTGAAAGTTCATGTCTGTTTGCTGTGCAGATGCTGTCCTCAGTTCTGGCAGCCTTTGTTGGGATCCTTGGTTCTGGATACTGTATAATCATTTCAGCACTGGGCTTGTCTCATGGACCATATTGTTTTACTCACCTGCAAAGAAACTGGATCTATCCTTTCACTGAATCTTCTGGAGGGTAAGTTGTCTGTTTATGAGGATGTTATATCTTCCCCCATGTACTCATGGTCTTTATTCCAGTACCTTTCAGCAATATCCAATAACTAGATACCAAGATCCATTCATAAGTTTATGCTTCTCACTCACTAAGAACTAAACAGATGGCGTCAGTTACTCACACTGCTGTAGTTTAAAACCAAAGCAATATAAATCCCATCCTACAAAAAGGGATCTGAATATATATATATAGGTAATAATATCTGTATACTACATACTGTTCATGTCCATGAACATCACTAACAAAGTTTTAGGACTTTGAGGGATTTACAAACTATGAATAGCGGTTGTTATGAAATTTGTCTTATCGTTTGTGTAAGAATATGTTTTGTGAGGCTTGCTTCTGAAGTTGCCTTCCGTCAGTGTAAAGTGGTATAATACATTCATTAGTGACAATGGCATAGAACCTTTTGTAAATGAAACTAGAAAAGGTTTATAAGAGTCTTTGTACACTGCAGGGCAGGGAGGGCCAGAAGCTCTTAATTATCCCTAATTAGGGTTCTCCAGCAAACCAAGCCTATGTAGCTGAGTGGTATGCTATTCCCCATTAATTCCCACAAATCCTGTAGGTTGGAAGAGGATTTGGTTTGGATCATGACATGCTTTTACAGTGTCTGTATGGCTGGCAACCTCGAGGCTGTTTCTAGTAACAGTTTATGCCTGATGCCAGACTACAATCAGTTTGAGTACGAAGAAGCCACATAAAGATCCTTTGCAGCAGAGAGTTTGAATTTTACATCTCAGTCGCACCTCTCCCAAGAGGGGACATTCCTCATCCCCCATCCCCCCCAACTATGACTGAATATAGAAGAACTAAGTTAAGTCCTTGCTGAAGGCTCATCAGTGCTGGTGTTCTGAAGATGCGGGTGAGGATTAGCAGCTGGAATACTGCCGTACTCCTCTAAACTTGTTCTGTGTTTGGCTCTTCCAGAGCAGGCATGTGAGGGCCTGAAGACAGCAGCATAGGATAGGAAGTGACCCATTTGCTTCAGATCAGTAATTACTGTCTTTAGAACGAAGGCCCAGTCCTGAAAAACTGTGGTTGTTTTGAGAAATAGCTTTGCTCTTTCAGCTTTCCTGAGCTTGTGTCTCATTTTAATCAGTAATAGCAGACTCTGCTTTTATAGCTTAGATTTTTTTTTTTTAAAGAAATTAAGACTTAACATGTATGGCTGATAGTTCAACACGTTCTTAAACAGAGCAAACTTTGCATGGAATAAACCGTTGTATTTTCTGTTCCCATTTAGAGTGATTATCCTCTAGATAACCAGACTAGATGTAATCTGGTTCTAGTGTATGGTAAGCGTCCTAATCTGTCACAATGTTAATATGCTTTTAATTGCTGTGTACAGGTACTTGTTTGAGTATAACAAGTGGTCTGAATGTCAAGAACCTCAAAACATCGTGCAGTGGAACGTCACGCTCTTTTCCATCCTCCTTGTCTTGGGAGGAATAGAGTTCATTCTGTGCTTCATACAGATAATCAATGGCATTCTTGGAGGACTGTGTGGGTTGTGCTGCAGTCATGAGGAGGTAAGCCATTTGTAGTTACAACCATGCTTCTCAGATGAACATGAAACATTCTTGGTTACTGATGCTACTGTGGAGTCCTACTCAGCAGCTTTTTTTAGGCATTCTTCAGCAACAATTCAGGGTACAACTCTTTTTTTTTTTTTATAGCCCTGTTGTGTTCAGTATTTTCATGTAGTATTTGACCACATGCTTTCAGCTGATCTCTCAGCTGTCACAGTGAAGTTAGCCTGCATAGGAGCTGGAAGGCTTCCCGCACTCCTGCCCCCATGCCTATGGCACATGTGGTCATCAGCACTACATAGGTGATATAACTGAAATACTAATCTCCTGGTGGTGGTGGTCTTTGCCATAGCCTAAACCATTGTTGCATAGTGTGGTGCAGTTCTGTGGTAGGCTGCTTGTTCTAACTATATTGCTTTAGCCTTGTATTTTGCTCACAGAGGCTGATAGACTACTGAGAATATGCCATATGTAGTGAAAACTGCAGCATCCTGACCTTGCTTACTAAAAGTAGGATAAGAGAAGGAATTAAATAGGACATAGCTAACAAAACCTGCAGGCAGATCTGAAGGGTTTTTTTGAAGGTGGGTTTTTTTTTTGAGTGAGGAAGGGGAATTTCCTCCAAATTTCTTCAGAGTCTTGTTAAACAGTTTGAGCATGTTGTTGAAATCAGTATCGTAGTGGTAGTGCTGGAATTGCAATAACTTAAGGTATGAACCAGATATGATTTATATCACACACACATTATGGCTAAGAATGTGTTTCACACTTTTAATTGACATAGTTGAATGTTGGGGCTCTGTCAAAGCTATTACTGTCATCTTACTCCTGTCTTCCATGCTGTAACTGTAGTATAAAAGAGCCATGCTATGGTTGTCTAAATGTGGTCAGGTTAATTTTAGCTCTTATAGTTGGATACAATATTAGCATTCTTCCCCTTAATATGTGTTTCTTTCTTTTTGTTCCCTCACAGACATACGCTTGCTAGAAACCTGACAATGTGTTGACGTTGGTGCATGTGTGGTATATTGAGTATTCCGTGGGTTTTTTTTATATTCCATGCATACTAGAATGCAAATTGTTTGTTGCCAAACTGTAATGTTGCCATCAATTTAACTGAGTTGGGGCCAGCCTTTGTTGTTGGAGTCATACGCAGGTTTTCCACTAACCTGCCTGTATCTAAAGGCAAAATGTATCCTGAATTTCTTTGGTTCATTTTGTCTTCAGACGGGCAGCTGCCTGAACACATGTCACTAAAGATGCCTTTTTTTTTTCCTTTCTACTGACACAACAGCTCTGTACTTTATGCTGCTTTCCCAATAAAGTTGCACTTTCATTCTGATGTTGGAATGAACACAAACCTAATCTAGTCAGGCCTGGATATAAATGAATACTCAGCTGGAGTAAAAACAAAAGCAGCAGTAAAATGTGGATGATCATGGGCAGATACGTGTGCTTCACCTTTTCAGGATTTTTCTGAACTTTTCCTGTATTTCACAAATAAAGATTTGTATTAAAAATACCCAGCAGGTGTCAGTGATTCTTTCCCTGCCCATGCTGAAACACTGCTTTCCTGGTCTTAGAGTAAAGGACAGTGGTGGCATGAGAACATGGATATAAAGCAGTCAGGTTATAACCTACTTTTCCTCTCCAGCAGGCTCTGTCGGAGTGGGAACTGCTTCACTGTTTGGTTTAGATCATTTAGCTGAGCCAGGCAACTGTGCATCAACAAGGATATGATCGTTCAATGACAGCTCTGTGACAGATACAACTGTGTACGTGGAGTCTTAGTCCCTGGGTCTGGGCTAGCAGTTCATTGCTGATGACCATTAAAAGGACCGGAGGGAGGTTCCCACGCAGTTGAGCCACAGCTCTGCTGCTCTCCCAAGGGGGGCCTTACCTCCTGACTGCTTAGTCAGAGTCTTGAGACAAAACAAAATGTGGGTCTAGGCCCTGTTTTTTACCTCACTCAGCAGACCCCCAGGCGTAGCAGCGTTCAGAAAATACAGTGCAAATTCAGGTCAGCAGTGATAGATTAAACCGAAATATTTTACTTCACCAGTAAGCAGCCTGGAGGCAGTATTCTGAGGTCCTGTCCAAGAATCTCTGAAGTGTGGCTTGTAGCATATTACAGTGAATGTTTTATCACAAGGTAAAGTAAATCTGAACGACGTGCTGCCAACAGCATTGCTGGCAAGGTCAGTATGCTACTGGCAATGGTATTTTTCAAGTGAAAACCAAAATGTGACATGCCATTTATTTCAAAGAAATGAGGCTGATTACCATTATTGCTCAGTTTTGGAATCTAGCAGTTAATGTCGTCTTTGAAAACAGGCAAGTTAGTTTCTGTTTGTGGGAGAAAAAGAATTTCCCACGGGTGTCAGTGCATACTTAGTGCTATTTGTAACTAGGAGGGTGGTCTCTAAAGGTAGTCAGAAACTTGAGGTGTATCTCAGGCTGTCCTCACAGCCAAGTCTGCCCAGTACAAATACATACTGAAAAAAAGAAATTAACTGCGAAAGCAAAATTGCACACACATCCGCAGCAACCAAAAAACTCACAGATGGGGAAAGTTTGTGTTTAGAATCTCAGGATATCTGCTTCTTGCAATACCATTTGTTCATACGTAAATACATAGAAGTAGTTGAGGGCAGTCTTTAATACCATTTCTGTTTGTTGTGTTTATCCCTGTCTTGCCCTGCTATGGGAGGGAGGAGAATATGCGTGTGCATGTGCGTATACACACACAAAATTCCTTACTGCTGTGTAGTATGGTGTCTTTGCATGTGAAGAAGCACTGTTTGAAAAAGGATCTGCAAGTTTAAGTGTGGAGTGAGAGGAGGAGGAAAAGAGGGTCTCGATGGAATAGGGTATAATTCCCATGCAACTTGCAGATTTTTGCCTTTGTGCTTGCATAATGGTTACTTGTCTTTCTGGTACACACAACTAATGAAAGAACTGAAACAATTTTAGAAATTCCAATGCCAGAATGATTAGCCTAGAATTTAGAATTAAAACTTTAGCTCAGATCCATGTATCACTAATGCACAGCATTACTACTCACTGTTTATGTTGTAATTTAAAAAAAGGCCAGTTGAATTCCTTTGTTGCCTGGTCCATAAGACAGTGTTTTGGGAGTTTTATCAGTTACATCATGGAGAAGTGGTTGTTTCAGGTTAAATTCATTTCAGTTATCAGAGAAGTCACTCATCCGGAGTAAACATGGCTTTTCGGTAATGGGCTCGGCATCAACTCATGGGTATTGACAGCAACAGGAGAGCAGTTCTTGCAACACTTGATAAGATATTTGAGAAACTGGTTGCCAGGTTTGCTTAATACTTAGTTTAAAATGGTTGCTTCCTGTTCTAGCAGAATAGTGTGGCAGCAAAAAAAAAAAAAAAACCAAACCAAAAACCTTGATTTGGTATTTGCAGACCTCAGCTTAAATACAGAATAAGTCATGATGTGGACTGCTGTACTGCAGAATGGATGCTGTTTCAGGCATCATTTTCCAAGTAAGTTTCTTCTAATCAGAACAGGTTACTATGGGAAGTAGCAGCAAATCTGATTATAAACTAAGCTGCTTGCTAGTAATTTTGGCCTTTGCTCTTAGAAAAAAAAGATTTCGGCCTATAGAATCATAGAATAGAATCATTAAGGTTGGAAAAGACCTCTAAGATCATCGAGTCCAACCATCAACCCAACACCACCATGCCCACTAAACCATGTCCCTAAGTGCCTCATCTACACGTCTTTTAAATACTTCCAGGGATGGTGACTCAACCACTTCCCTGGGCAGCCTGGTCCAATGTCGTGGTTTAACCTCAGTCAGCAACCGAGCACCACAGAGCCGCTTGCTCACTTCCCCCCCACCTCCCCTCAGTGGGATGGGGGAGCGAATTGGAATAGTAGAAGTGAGAAAACTCGTGGGTTGAGATAAAAACAGTTTAATAATTGAAATAAAATAATAATAATATACAAAGCAAGTGATGCACAATGCAATTGCTCACCACCTGCCGACTGATGCCCAGCCAGTCCCCGAGCAGCAGCCCCCCCCCGGCCAGCTTTCCCCAGTTTATGTGCTGAGCATGACATCACATGGTATGGAATGTTTCTTTGGCCAGTTTGGCTGGGCCCCCTCCCAGCTTCTTGTGCACCTGCAGCCTTCTCAGTTGGTAGAGCTTGTGAAGCTGCAAAGTCCTTGACTAGCGTAAGCACATTAAAACGTTGGTGTGTTATCAACATTATTCTCATCCTAAATCCAAAACACAGCACTGTACCAGCTACTAGGAAGGAAATTAACTCTATCCCTGCCGAAACCAGGACAGCCTATTATATGATCTTTGAGTTTTGTAATAAAAAATCGGTCCTGGGGATGTGATGTGCCTGCTTTTAATTCCGCTGTTTTCTTTGATCTGTAAGGCACGGTGTTGATGATGAGAGTTCTGTCCATGCCTGTGAGCCTGCAAAGGGAGGTTTGCCACTAATTTCAATTAGAGGGAGGCCTGAAAAAAGTGTCCATAGTGATTAGGGATATGGGAAGATCCTCAGAGTAAAGTCTGAGGACTTCAAAATGAAGCCTCCTAGAAAAAGAAGGGGAGAGGGATACAGGGGAGAGTCACAGCAGAGAACGGGTAGAAAAACAGTGTAATGGCATGAGTACCACCATGCCCATTTCCTTCGATGATCTCATTAGAAGCAATAGGAAGGAATTAGTTACAACATGCAACCCGAACAGCTTTTATGAGATCATGAGAGAAGTCTCGTGTGCAGAGCCTAAAACAGCTCATGAGGAAACAGAAGGAAAATACACCATGACATCATTGCTTCCAAAATCAGCCTTCTCGCTTTCGATAGAGCCCCAATTTTTTTGTTCTCTGACTATGACTTTCCTATTGAGTAAGCCCTAAGCTCATTCTTGAGTTACTTTTCTGATGACTCACAGGGGCATGGAAAGAAGGCTTGGGTTGTGCTGCGAGCACTCAAACAGCTCTGGCTCTGTGTTACTGAGATGGATGTTTAGTTGCTTAGGGCTTAGGGAACGATGACATGAAAATGGGGAAACTGTCTGGCTTTGGCTTTGCACAGCGCAAAACAGCAGGCATTTCAAAAAACAGCCAGACCTTTTGTCCTGTGCAAGAAGTCATGTGTACTTAGGTCTGATCTGTAGCTATGCATAATCAGCTGTAAGCAGAGTAAAACAACTGGAGAAATAGCAGGATTTAATTCACGAAACAGTTCAGCTGCATAATGCTGCAGAAAAGAGTAATTAATTAAAGCGTGACAATGCCTGCCTGGCGGTTTCTAACCAGTGTTATTTAGGCTTCTGTATTCTCTGCAAAGTGGCTGAGACTCAGCTTGGTGTTTTTGTGAGGCTGCCCCAAGTTAGCAGCAAGTGTTGGTTCACCCTTAGCGCCATATCTGCCAAGCCCTGGTATTAATTCTCTGTAGCGTGAGGCAACGTGTGGCCTTCTGTACAGAGACTGGACGTATTTATCATTTGACAGCCCCCTTCCCCATGTAAGGTAGAAAAAATTTTGAGCTGCAGTAAGGCTGAGCAACCTGCTTCATGTCACAGGACATCTGCATCGTAATCCGTGTTCTCGGGAGGAGTGCGTTTCTAAGCAGTCACTAGGAAATGAGATTTTTGAAGTTCCTTCCTGAGTCTGACTTCTAGACATATTTCATTTGGAAGATCACAAAGGAGGATCTTTTAGAAGGGAAACTGCTACTTAGAGACGTATGCTTAGAAAGGACAATGAGTTTAGACAGCAATATTCATCTATTGTTCTGCTAACTGTTAAGCACTTCTCTATCTCTAGCATCATACCCCAGTCACCCGGTTCCCGTGAATGTGAAATGACTGAATCAAACTGAGGAGGTCAAAACACTTCTCATATTTAAAAACTTGTAATCTTTTGTTAGCTTGGAAGAGCAAAACTTCTAAAGTTCTTGAGAGATGGCTTTAGAGACATGTGGAAGCTGTTTGAGTTGTCTGCTGATACCTCTTGCACTTTGGAGTATTGTTGTTAACATCCTATTATACTTCCCTAATGGGAAAGCTTCACATGCTGCCAGTTACCAGCTTCCCAACTACGTGTGGTATTTTGAAGGGATCTGTTTCTCAGGTGTGATGGTAAGTGTTGATTCTATGGATTTTTAAAGAATTGCATTCTACTGCAAATAATTCTGGGTTACTATGCAGCAATGTAACTGTGCTTTTAAAGAGAATACGGATTACTTTGGCAAAAACACTGCAGGCAGAAAAACTCGATCAAACTGAAACAAATGTGAATATACTGAATGACATGCTATGTATACTATTTAATTTCATGTAAGTGATTTTGCAGGGTTGGTGATCGGGTTTTTTTCTGCTGGCTTTTTGTTTATGTGTAATTTACGCTTGTACTATGGGGGCAGGCACTATGTTGATTTAATCCTGTATGGAGGTTGAGTTAGAGCTCTTTTACCAAAACAAAATGAAACAAAAACTAAAAAAGCTTCTCATAACTGTTCAGATGTTTTTAAGAGCTGTATGCGGTCCAGTATTTAGAGGACTGGATACAGTTCACAATGCCTCAAGTGCCACTGTTAGGCTAAATACAGAAGATTGTCTCACTGTGTTTGGCATAGTAGGATTTTCTCCATTACATTTGTAATATGCTCATGTGCAGTAATAAGCTAACACAGAGTTGCCCACTGCTCATACTGTTCGCTCTGTTCATAAAGAACCGTAGCCGCAGGGACAGAAAGCAGTTATGTAGTAAAAGTTCATGCACACAATCAGTATTTAAAAAGGTCTCATCTGCATAAGTAAGCTGTTTTTATGAAGGTGCTGAACTGGGAGAGTTATTAAAACATGAGATATTCTTTTGAAATTGTGTATTCTTCCTAAAGCAGAAGAAAAACCTAATCTTTTCTAGCAGAGGAAAAAGCTATCAGGCAGAGAATTTGAACAGAAAAGCATAGTTGAAAATTTGGGAAAAAGTTAACTGCAACAGTGACATTCATATTTTGAAGCATTTTTAGGATCGTTACCAATTTATTAAAAACTTATATATTATCTTGTTACAAACAGGGCAGCAGCATGTGAGAGGATAGTGCTGTGATTCGGAAAAATTCCTTTTCATATTTCCCCTTTCAAACCAGTGCCTCTCTGAGTGGCAGTTTGTGGTTCTGGAGTCCAAATCTTATTTATTGAAATGATTCTAGTATCAGGTTTAAATAATCCAATAGTCTGAGAAAAACGGTATGGATACTTGACAGGAAAAGCAAATGAAAGTCCGGGTGAATTTAACAAAAAGCTTGTACTTCTAGGATGACTGCGTTGGTAAGGAAGGTGATACCCTGATCCGTGTAACTGTGTCAGCAACAAGCTGTTGCACTGATGTGGTTGTATCAATAAAATATCCTTCCTTTCATTGGTATTGATTCTTTTACTCGTGAGCTTGGTTTTATTCTTTCAGCTTCACTGGTATAGCTGTGTCCATGCTAGTAACACTTTGCTGTGATAGGAGACGCTGTACTCTTGTCTTTCAAGTACAAGAAACAACTACGGTGACAGCCTAATAAAAACAGTCCAGTTCCATGGTGCGCCTTGAGTAATTGTGCTTTCCTACTGAGCAGCTTTAAAATCTCAACAGAGCGTAACAGATGCAGTCCCTACCTTCCATAGGCGAAGGAGACTTTGGCTTGGTATCTGCAGTCATTTCACTGACCTTATAATGTCCCCTTATAGATCCTTCTGTTGGCAGTAATTCTAATAACACTGGAGTGCAGCGTGTTCTATCGGTGCTGCCAGAGCGAGAGCTGTAACAAAACCTACAGGGTGAGTCTGTGTTCTATTTTTGCGCCTCTTTAGCATTTGTTCTGAGTGCCCTCCTGCTCCCGTGTTTCCAGCACATCCTTCTGGCCTCTCCACTGCTCTGTTTCTGCTTCCTTTCACAGAGAAGAATTCTAAGTCGGGTTGAGAGGTCACAGAAAGTGTAGCTCCTTCCTTCTGATGCATAAGCAGGATGAAAGAAAAATAACCAAAAAAACCCCCACAAAAAAAATCCTTGTAAAAGACAATAACAACGTAGAAGGCCTGAGAGTTTCAACGAAGTGCCCCAACCAAATATCTTCATCCCCTCACTTGTATTATTTGGAAGTTATTTTTTCCGGTAACGACTCAATGTACACTGTCTGGGATGCAAACATGTTTAATGCGTGGTTGTGTTCCTCTAGCATTTTGGGAAACAATTTTGCAAAAACGCAAGTTTAAAAAAAAAAAGATCCCCAAACAATATTTACCTGAGAGTTGTGAAACTGTCTTAAATTCTGACTTAGCCTTTATTTTGTATGTGTATGCTTACTGTTCTTTACCTGGTATTTCTCTTTCTGAATATTGAAGATTGTGACAATCAAATGTGCAATTCAACCCCAAGGAAGTAGCTAGGCAGGCTGAATGACTGTATTTGCTCTGGACACTGTCCCCACACAGTAATATTTTTCTCTCTTTACTTCAGAGTTTTATTTCAATTGTGTTAGCCCTGCTTGGAGTTGCTTTCTCTGGATACAGTTGCATCATCTTTACCCTGGGGTTGATCCAAGGCCCCTTCTGCAATTCATCAGGTGGATGGGATTATATTTTCAAAGACACTGCTGGAGGGTAAGAAACATCAGTGTAAGTCTTCTGGAAGAAACTGTTCATTGAAACAATAGTCAGACAAATTCTCTCAGAGTTTTACACAAAATGACAGTCTCTTGAACACAAGACCTATATTGGTGAGTGAGGTTTTTCAACTTCTTGAATGAGCACCAGAATCCTCAAAGAGAGGTATTTGCCTCCTTGTAAGGAAAGATTAAATGTAAGAATCTTTGTACTGATCAGACCTGGAGGTCCATCTAGCTAAGTGTCCTTTATCTGGTGGTGGTCACAATCATACGTGTGATAAAGAATATAAGATTAGAGTGAGTGTAGATGGATACTCTCTCAGAATATTCTCTCGAATTCCTCAGGGTTTTGGTTCAAAGATTATAGATGGCATTTTTATATTTAATAACTCAGTAGGTTTCTAACTCCTAAAGCTCAATGAAGTCTGTGGTTTGATCACGGGTAGTTTTTGCATACAGCTGCTGTATCTCATAAAACACCAAGGCGAGACAGACAAAGTGTTGCCCGTGTCCCAGCCTCCTACAGGCATGAAAGGTTTGATTCAGATCTGTAACCTGAGGCTGCTTTTGCAAGATTTTACATTCTTCCTTTAAAAGATCAGATTTTTATAAGACTTGAATATTTCAAGTCATATAATGCTAAGCTCTTCCAGCTGCATTTGAATGCACCGAGGATTACATTTGTCAAGGGACCACAAACAAGTTCCTTCAGCATCCAACAGGAATAGTTCCTAAACTATGGCCTTCTCTGGCATAAGTCAGCTTTATTTTAAACCACTGAAGTGCATCCTGCAATCTCTGCTATGTATCACCAGCATTATCGTCCCATTTGGAAATACAAAAATGTGAGTTTGAGTTCAACGAGGGCCAAATGCTGAATAATGCACTCCAGATTTGGCTCAAAGCATTTCAGTTACGAATGTTTAGAAAAAAAGCAACTGACACGGAGCAAGTGAGTCTAACAAAGGTTCTTGCAATTAACCTCCAGGCTATACCATGTCTCACAGTTAAAAGGGCACAGCTGGCACATGTCAGTTGTACACATTATGATCCTCAAGGATGCAAAGCATGGCTCTAGAACAACTGGAAATTGCACGCGGTGACACTTACCTCAGCTCTGCCATTCAGGCTGCACGCACTGGTTAGAATGATGGCATTGGAGTGTTCCTGCTCTCTGCATGGTACTGATGTCAGCTGAACTTAACCTAAAGCTGAAATTAAATCAATAAAAGGAAAATTCCCATTTTAAACTTGACTTCGGCCATTTGGAAAAATGGCAGTATCTTTCTAACACTTGGGTGTCTAACAGGGAAACTAATGAAGCAGATGTATTTGAGGAAAATAAGTCTTTTCACTCAGCTGAATTTGACAAACCTACGCAGGAGTTATGCTGGTGTAATGAAAGACTAGAGTCTGACTCCTAAACTTGAAGCATATGAAGCCCAATATGGTTTTTCTATATATTATAGGTAAAATAACGTGTATTTAAATTGGATTTCACCCACCACATTTAATTTACTTCACATTGCTGTTTCTCTTATAGGTACCTCACAGATTACCCTGCTTGGTCTCGGTGCACCGAACCTGCTAACATAGTGGAGTGGAACACCATTTTACTCTCTATTCTGATAGCTCTTAGTGGACTGCAGTTGATCATCTGTTTTCTCAAAGTGGCTGCTGAGTTGAAGCGGACACTCTGTGGGACCTATTCTGTTTTTGTCCAGGTAACAAATTATCTGAGGTAATTTCTTCAGCATCTCCAAGTCAGTTTAGCTTCAGCAATTTCTCTTGGTTGAGGACCTACCCTTTTGGTTTATGCACTCTCTATGCTACTGCATTTTTATTACCAGAGGATATTTACTGATAATAAAACTACTGTGTTTGATTCATCCACTAGTTCCTTGTGGTATACAGGGATTGGTGGCTGCTCACTCTGACCTTTAAGGCTAGGATTGAGAACAAAAAAATGTGACTGGGAATTCAGTGCCGATGCCGAGTCCATTGCTCCTATGTCAGCAGAGGTTTCTGAGCACCTTTCTTCTAGCATTTAATTTAAAGTCATTCTTACCAATGTGAGGGTTTCACAACAAACAGAAGAAGATGCAAGAGGTAATATGTAGCAGTCGTGATCTAGGCATCAGTTTTTACTAGGTTTTCAGTAGGTTATTGAAACAATAATTGAGAGGGCTCTGCTTTGGGCAGAAGAATTAGTTGGAACCCCAGAACTCAAGTGACTGATGCTGCTAACCTGCACACTGGTGTGAAGTGGTGTGGTTTAGTGTGGCGTTCAGTTTCCCCAGCTCTGGAGGTAGGGTGAAATTAGGCATGCTTACCCCTCCCTGTCCATCTGCACTGGGATCAAGGAGCCCTCAGGGTTTTTATGTAGCCAACAATCTCAGTGATGACAGCACGTTCAAGAAAGATTTCTAATTAGGAAAAGCAGCAACCCCCAAAAGCACACATGCACACCCACACGCACATATATATATGTACACCTGCACACACACACACACACACATACAGAGTAGGTAGTTCTGTCATGTAAGTGGGAAACCTTGGGAGGGCAGAGCAGGTAGGATGGCAGTGCCTCTGCAGCATGAAGTCTCCTGACCAGTGCTTGTCAGCCAGGGCAGGGGAGCTGCAGGTGCCACGTAGGGCCTTGAGCGAGCCAGCAAGGAAGAGCTTCTTGTAGGAATTTACTGTAACAGCAACCTACGATAAGGTCAAGGCCTGAGGCAATTTCTCTCAAAACATTTCGCTTGCCAGTGAAAGAGCCTCATCAGCCTGGGACCCAGCCCAGCTTCCAGTGAAGTCAAAAGCAATACTGTCAGCTTGTCCCTGGGCGCAGAGCAGGGTCACCTCTGGAGCACCCTGAGTGTGTGTCGGATTTAGATTGGATATGGATGTTGAACAGTGGAACAACTTCCATATTAACTTGAGTTGAAAGAAAGAGGGCAATTACTTCCTTCTTTTTTTATTTGCAGCCCAGGATTCTCTGAAAATGGCAAGGAAATCTTCACTGCTTCTCCCCCACTCCCGGAAAAAGAGAGAAATGGCTTCTCCACCATTTGCAATGGTAGATTTGGGTGCTGCAAAGACAAATGAAACCCTCGTCTTACATCCTTGTCTCTCACCCTCTCTACTTTGAATGAAGTTATTTGAACTGTTTGACATCTATATTTTTCTAGTTGTTTTCTAACGTGTCGGGTTGTCCTTGGCAGTGCTTCTTCATTTTTTTTACCCTCCAGCTTGTTCTGACAATAGGGAGGTTTGAATACCGTGGAACTGCTTTTGTATTGAAATCACCTTCTTTTGAATAAACTGCTGTAAAACTGCTATAGAACTGCTTTTATACTCCCCTCTCTTTGTTTAGAACACAGGAATATTTGTTGTTCCGAAAGGGCCTGATTCAAAGCCCAGTATGTCAGGAGGGGTTGTTCCCTTGAGAATTAGTGCACTGGATGAAGCCATGATTTCTAAATTAATAGATTTTAGTTCCAGACAGACCATGATGGTCACGAAAGGCAGCAGCCTGTCCTGCTCATTCTATCTTGGAAGTTCTTCACTGCACAAAGCAATTACTGAAAAAAGTCTATCAAGTCTTCCTGTGGTGACGCTTTTAGAAAGGCATCCAGGCCTGATTGAAAGATACACAGCTCTGAAGTCAGCCGTGCTAATTAGTACACGTTAATTGCTGCACTGGGTTTCTTTTTATTTTATACTCAGAAGCAAACAACTTTTTTTTTTTTTTTTTTGATCAAGTATTATGTGACTTGAGGGAATATATGAGGGAACCTTATGAGCACCCAGTGCTAGCTTATTAATCCTCTTCTAAATTCCCTGACCTTGCTGCAATGGAAGGCTAACATTCTTGACAATAATAATCAGGCGAAAAAGAATAATCTGTTTTAAATTAGCAGCTAAAAAGTCTTTTCAATTTCTCAAAGAATTATATTTCATTCCCAGTGGAAATTGAGGTATTCACAATAAAGTGGACATATGGCTCATTTGCAGCTGCATGGGCAACATTTGGCTGTATTCAGCACTGTGGTTTTGAGAGAATGAACACCCAGAGGAAAGCAAAATACGTACTTCAGACTTGCAGTAATGCACGTATCCCTATTACATCAGAACTAGTGGGATTCAGGTATATCAACATCTAAAATTAAACACTGTTAGAACCGCAAACCATACAATAAGTGGCAGCTGTGGGTAAGATATTTAGAAAAAATAGAGTATATCAGTCATTTAATTCTGTTCCAAGACAATATTGAGATTTCGCCTTGATATTCCTTTATCAGATTGTTTTGAAAAGCTGATTTCTTCCTGTAAGATTTGGAGAATGCATATAAAGTTATAATTGCTTAGTATCTATTAAGTTGCAAGAAGTAATGAAGAAATTAATGATGTTTAAGAATGGGGCTAGTCTTTTGGGAGATGGTTCAAGGTGGCATGGATGTTCAAAGATGCGTGATAAAAAGGCATTACAAAATGGGGACTCTTTGCAACTGCACACTTGTTTTTCCCTAGGCTTAATATACATCCTATCATATATCTACTTAAATGATAATCCTACATTCTTATGGATTTGTGGATATTGTTTGCGGACAGAAGGAAAAGAAAGAAAACTTAACAATCAACCCATATGCCTACAAACATCTTGGAGAATCTTGCTGATTTCATGCTGCAATCCATGGAGCTGTTTACTTTGAAAATGTTAGAAATACTTGAAAAAAGGTTTTGGTTATTTGGATGAAAAACAGTATGTGTGGGGTAGACATTCAAAGCAGAAAACCCCTAGAACTGCTAAATATTCCTAAAGTGAATGGTGCCATTTCACTGAAGAAAGCAAACAAACAGAGTATTCTATTCGGACTCCAGCTCAGCCATGGGGAAAATACAGGCTTATCTTTAGGCTAACAGGGTCTATTGAGATAGATTTTGCTATGCTGGATGAGAGCAATGAAATACCTTAAAGTTACACCTGGAAACTCTTAACCCTTTGTCTTGCTCCTGTATGTGTCCTTTCCACTTTTCAGTCACTTCTGTCTCTGATCATGGAAAGTCTTGTGCTTGGCAGACAGAAAACACAAAGAACAGTACCTAGTTTGACAGCTTTTTCCACAGTAGTATCATTAGTGGCTGTACCTAACCACTGGCAAGGCTTGGCTGTCTTCAATTCATCTTTTTTTTTGTGATTGTGTCTTGTGAATTTACATTTCTGCTCTACCACAGGCTGGTATCTCCTATTTTAGTGGCTTAAATCAAAGAGAGAGATGTGTAATTTAGTTCTTGTTGGAGGTATTGATTCTGCAACCCTCTTTATCCATAATCCAGATACGGGCATCTCCATTGCCACAGCCAGACTCAACTGTGACTTGACCGCTCAGCTTTTAAATGGGCAGTTTATTAATTTGAAATTGGTGGTAAGAATACTAAAGGCTAACATTTGCATTTACAAATGTAACAACTTGTTTCACACAGGGCTTTTGGACGTAAGGCAAAGTTAAACTTGATATAATCAATTTAAGTCCTGATTCAATCCTAAACGTGGTGTCTCTAGCAAGAGGTGCTATGAACTGTGCCTGGTAGCAAAACCAAGATTCCTGTAAGGAATATTAACTGACTTGAAATCTAGACATAGCCGGCAACTCTGATGGTGGTTTTTGAGGCGACGTGACCATCTGGCTCTCCAGCTGCGGAATACAGACCTCACCCTGACAACAGCAGAGAAAAGTGGGCCACAGAGCCAGGACAAAGCTCACACCATGCTGGCATACGAGAAACCCTTTTTTGAAGAAGTGTTCCTGAACCTGAAGTGCATGTGCTGCCTGCTGAAATCCACACATAAAATATTCTTCCACACGTAAAAATTTCTTCCCAGACACACCTGGAAGAAAGATGCAGATTTGAGTTTATAAACTTCTGTAAGCGAGGAGTTAATGCTGAAATCTAGAAGTAAGAGTTCTAGCATTATTTGTTCCTCACAGCCAATGCATTTTGCCAGAGTATTGTGATGCTGTGTCTGGAACAGGAATGTCATTCATTTAAAACACTGAAACTGGAAATAGCTGTAGAGACTTGGTTTTGACCACAAATAATTGTGGGCAGAGATTGGCAGTAAAATACTGTGGAGCCCCATCCACCTTTGCATTTGGGGGCACATTATTCCCCATGTAGGTAAAAGTGAGTCTCACTGAAGCACAATTTCCTGATTGCTAATTCTTCACATATTGGATGGAGGGCTTTTTCCACCTTGAAAAAGAATAGGGTGGCAGAGGACAAATGAAGCTCCCCAGAACTTTAAAGGGGGTTTACCTGCAAAGGTTTGCAGGAGGTCAGAACAGCAGCGTGGGCAGCAGACTATAAACACATCGTTCAGATTAGGAAATTATGCAATTGTGGGGCTTCAGTCTCACTGGGAGCTTTTGTTGAGACTTTTTTGTCAGAATATTCCATTTTGGGTGTTTTTTTCCTCAAGAAAAATTTTTGAAGTAAAAGATCAGCTTTATATTTTCAATGCAATTTTGAGGATTTTCAGAACAGTTGTAGCATTTCAGCATCCTCGGTATGAGAAATGAGGTATTGTGGTTTAAGACAATAAGGGGATATTCATGACACCAAACTGCAGACTCATAATTTAACCGGTTAGATTAGGTGCTCAGTCTTTTTAGGCCCTGTCTATCAGAGGAGTGAGGTTCCTGCTCTTCAAACACCCTCTGAAGATAATAATGCAGGCTTGGGAAGCCCAGTCACCTCTGTCATTCCTTAAGAGAAAGGTAACAGGAGTGTGCTCAGGCACACGAATATCTTAAAGTTTGGGTGAGATGCAATTAAAAGCAGTAATGGAAAAATCTTGTCTGTCAGAAGTTTTTGTTTTATCTTTAAATAAAAACAACATGCAGTTCTTTTGCCAATCAAGAAAGAGTAGTTTAGAGGAGTCAAGGTACTAAGGCAAAGGAATGCTCATGTTTTTACCCTCAAATAAATGTGGAGATTTCAAGGATACTGCCTGTGTGGTTTTTTTTCTTCCTCAGTCCGATGGAAATTTGAACAAAAATAAACCAAATATCCCACATATGCATGAACAACTCTGTTAGCTGAGTATTAAGGCATGACTTTGAATTTAAGTAGAATAAGAGGAGGTAAACATTTTCTCATTTTTACATCAGTTAATTTACAAAACGGGGCATATGCAACCTGTACAAGCTGATCTTTCCAGTGAACCACTGACCTTCATCCATGGCAAAGAAAAAAAAAAATCCCTACAGAAATCATTTTGAGCATGTGATGCCAACCTGGGAAACTCCAGAATTTCATCATAGATTCAGTCAGATTTCGAAAACTTGGCTTTGGCCACAGTCATTTAGACAGAAGCAGAATCCTCCGTTTAATGTTGATGTGTAGAAGGTTCCAAAGGGTGAGATTATGAACTTCAGTATTCTGACAGTGCCTGAAATTTTTTATATGAATAGTGATTAAAATTGGTAATTTATCTGTATACCACAGTCCTGGTAAATAAGGTTTAGATTTGTATGTCATTAAAGGAAACCTGTTGTACTTTAGTTACGTTCTGGATCTTAGCCTTCTATCCAAAATAATAATAATTTTTCTGACCATTAAGAAAATAGCTTCAGAGAAGATTGTGGTTATTACAGCTATTTTTTAAGTTGCCATACAATGAAGGATATCATTTAGAATGAGTATGACTGTGTCAGTGCTCAGAGTGCAGAAAAGATTTTTTAAGAATTCCCAAGTGACTGAAGATATATATTTTTAATAGAAGTTTTTACAGTTTGCAAGTTTACAGGTGGCTTTGTATGTCTAAAGCTTCAGACACAGCCATGATGTAATGGATGTATGCTTGAAAAAAAATGCAATTGCAAACTTTAGATAGGTGTTTTTTAAACGTCCCATGTTTAAGGTCCAATTTTGTTCTTATTTTTCAATGAGACTAGCAGATACAAAATGTTTACAGAGCTTGAATAAAGCAAAAGTATAGCCTTCTGCACTAGGTAGTACATTTAGATAATGGTAACAGTTAAGATTGTCTGGAGCTTTATTGCATCTGTTATGCTTTTAATCATTGAAGAATGTGGCTTATCCTGTCTGGTGATAGACTAGGAGGAAGATAGCATAGGGAGTTCATTTTGTGGAATTTCTGAGCCTTGTTTCCATTAGGGCAATACTGAAACTGCTTGGAAATGAGATGCAAACATCCACCACCACCACCCCCCCATCTGTGAACGGACGGTCCTTTTCATCTCTAGCTATATATGTCACACTTTGTGCTAAAATTACATTTCCAAGGGAACTGCGGCGGGTTAGCA